CTCTGCAGGACATAAGCTTAACACTGAACTTCTCTCGGTCTCGGCTTCCCGCCTCAGCCCTGCGTGCAACGAGCAAGCTGCGTGCCCATATTCCTGCAGGAACCGACCTCGCTCTGGCTTGCGGATTTTGGGACTCCATGCCATACATCACATCCCACCTTGGAAACGGCACGGCCCCCGCTCCAAGCAAAGCCCTCGCCGTCTGCGTTGCTTGCCTGAAGCTGCTCGCGAACACCTCCTCTGACACTGTTCAAAGCGCCGGTCTTAGGCTCTGGCTGACACGTCAAGAACAGCGCCAGTAGCACCAGCACACGCCTGAGCTTGCGTGATGTTGCTGGAGGCCGGCTCATGGCGGCAATCGTCCTAGCTGTCCTCTTGCTTGAGCAAAAGCACTGCAATCTCCACCTTTTTCAGTTTGACTGCTGGTTCATCCCTCCAAGCCATTATTTTCACTGGGTGAGTTACCTCACGTATGCTTTGTTAGCCACTTCGCTTGTCTTCTTGCTGTTGCTGAATCAAAACAATCGTGACCTGTTTCCGCTCGCACACGCTTGCCAGCGCATCACAGATCGGCCCTGCGTGAGAATTTGTGTTGTGGTTCGTTACAAACATGACAACGTGCATATGCTTTCCTTCGGTGAGAATGTCTTGATTCATCCTGTCCGCGACCGTGTAGCATGCCAAGTGTTTAGTTTGCAACCAACTGCAATTCAACATGCGCAGCAATTGCAAGTGTGGCCTGGCGTGCCCAGGCGGCTGCAAGATGACCCAAAAGTGCCGACAGCGCGAAACGGATGCTGGCAATCAAAGTTGCAACATCACGGCTCCCAGGACTGCCTACAACGCACGAGCAACAAAACGAAAAGGACTGCAACAAGAGCAAGCAAGCGCAAGCCGGCGTGAAATGTGAAACCCTGGCCCCCGGAAGGCCTGGCGTGAAATGCGAAACCCTGGCGCCCCCCCCGGAAGGCCTGGCGAGAAATGTGAAACCCTGGTCCCCCGAAGGCCCGACGTGAAATGTGAAACCCTGGTCCCCCGAAGGCCCGGCGTGAAATGTGAAACCCTGGTCCCCCGAAGGCCCGTGAAATGTGAAACCCTGGTCCCCCGAAGGCCCGTGAAATGTGAAACCCTGGTCCCCCGAAGGCGTGTGTGAAATGTGAAACCCTGGCGTCCCGAAGGCCCGTGAAATGTGAAACCCTGGTCCACTGACCAAAACGCCCCCTGCGGCCTCCCAGATTCACATTCCACGCTGCGGCGCCCCAGATTTCACGTTTCACGCCCCGCTCTGCCCCCCAGATTTCACATTTCACGCCCCGCTCCGCCCCCCAGATTTCACATTTCACGCCCCGCTGCGGCCCCGCAGATTTCACATTTCACGCCCCGCTCCGCCTCCCAAATTTCACATTTCACGCCCCGCTCCACCCCCAGATTTCACATTTCACGCCTCCTGCTGCCCCCCAGGTTTCACATTTCACGGCCCCTGTGGCCTCCCCCCAGGTTTCACATTTCACGCCCGGTGCGGCCTCGCGGCCCCCCCCCCAAGTTTCACATTTCACGGTCCCTGCGGCCTCCCCCCAGGTTTCACATTTCACGCCCCCGGTGCTGCCTCGCGGCCCCCCAAGTTTCACATTTCACGGCCCCTGCGGCCTCCTTCCAGGTTTCACGTTTCACGCCCCCTGCGACCCCGAATTCGGCCCTTTCACACCGCAAGATTCCTAGGCCCTTGACCCTGCCTCCGAGCCAAGAGGTCGAGGACGAAGATACGAGCAGCACACGAGCGCCTGCGCAGAAGGGTCGGGGCTCGGGAAAGGACGGGACTCCTCGACCACGCAGCCGCGAAAAACACTACCGCGAAGCAGAAACCTTTCACTAACCCCACCTCTGCTGGATGCTGTCGAAGAAGCGAAAGTCAGGAAGCGCACCTGATCACAGGAGGGGGCCCGGGGTTCCCGGGAGGGGAGGGGAGGCGCACACACTCTAGATTACGGGAGGGGTGAGGGCAGCAGCACAGGGCACTCCTGACACGTGCGACCAAACCTGGCAGCCTCAGAACCCCTTGCCTGCAACCTCCAAAAAACCCTGAAACCTCTGTGCACCCGGCGTTCGCACTCTACCTCTCTGTGTCAGGATTTGCGTGCTTGCTGTCTGTCTTCGTTAAGTGCGTCTTGCCAGGTCCTTCTGTTGCTAAACGAGTTGCTGCTGTTGCCTGTTGCCACTGCCTGCTGCTCATGCTTCGAGGGAGCGAGCGCGGCACAAGCACTCACAAAAATCGAACGTGTCAAAATCATGCAAAAATCCATGCCAAAAACTCATGCAAAGCGAAATGCGGGCATTCGGTTTAGGTGGCTTCCAAAGTAGGCCTGCTCGCCACAGAGCAGTGAAGTAGGCCTGCTCGCCACAGAGCAGTGACTAAGCCTGCTCGCTCCAGAGCAGTGAAACGTGAAAGAAACTCGTGCAAAACGAAAAAACTGCCGTATAAGGTTTAAGGGTTAGGGAGTATAAGGTTTAGGGAGGGCTTGAGCCGAAGCTGTACACGAAGACTTGAGCCAACAACTGTACAACAAGACTCGACCGCGAAGGGGCGCCCGCTCGGGGGACGACCTTTTTTCCGGGCGGGTGGTTCAAAAGTCATGAGCTGGGCTCAGCAACGAGAAGCGATCAGAATTGCAGCCGAGGCCGGGGTCAGGGCGAGGACCTCGGCGGCAGGCTCAGAAACCCTTCCTTTGAGACACCACCACCTCCGCTACGCGATGCTCAGCCGCCCCAACGGCGAGCTGACGAGGGCCGGGCAGTACTACTACCAACTGATCGGCCAGCCACCCCCCAGTCGGCAGTACGACCGCAACCAGCCCCTCATCCGCGAGGGGCCCAACGATTACATCATGCTCCGGGGCGGCGCCAAGAAGCTGCTCCGCAGCCTCCAGCCCAACGGGAACTACCACTTGACCAAGCTCGGGAAGAGCTTCTTTAAGGACAAATGGGTGGACTGGGTGGTGCACGTGCCCGTCATCATCCGCGGCGTCCGGCGAAACGGCCGGAACCGCGGCATGCCCTACGAGCGCACGAAGCGCCTGCCCGTCAGCGACCTCAACGTCGCCCTGTCCCGGCAGAGCGAGGGCCTCTCGGACTGGAAGTGCCCATTTTAGTGACCATAAGGGCCTGGAAGCGCCCATTTTGAGCCAGAGTTTAGGGCTTTAGGGACGCAGCCACAAAACCCTGAACACTAAACCCCTATTTAAGGCTTTAATGGTTTATTCGCAGTTTGAGCCAACACTTGGGCCACGCATTAGGGTTTTAGGGACACAACTACAAAAAAACCTCTCTTCATGCATTTAAAAATGCATCGGGCTAAGTTGGGGATCATTGGATTATTTTTTTCGTGGTCTATCATATTAATATTTTCTGAGATTTTTATTGTATTTTGTATGGGATTTGCCTATAGTTTTATAGCAACCCGTATTTTTTCAAATACTATATGCGTTCATCTTATGATTTATAGGTTTAGGGGTTTAGGATGGTAGCAAAGCCAAGCAAGTCTCACATGCGAACGCTTGGCATCCTTTTCCTCGAAACTCCGACGCTGCCCCCTTGGAGTTCACGGCTTTGGCAACAAACTCAAGCAGCTGCAGTTGCCCGCTTTGCAGCTGGCAACCGTAGACTTTGTTAGTATACGTCCACCTGCAGCCGCTGCTCGTGATTCGGACTTGATCCCGATAGCAGTCAACAATGGACCGAGGTCACGCACATCCTTGATATCGCAATATTCAGCACCACGACCATGGAGCTTATACATTCGTTGGAGTAGACCCAGTACTCGGTGTCGAAGATCAACAATATTTTGTGGCATGTCTGAAATTTTGGGGCGGCGATCTTCAGCATTCAAGAAGTCACGATACATCTCTGCACTGACGAAGCCTTGCCGTCCAACAACAGTCTTTTCTTTCTCAATAATCTCATTATCAGACATAGTGCTGCTGTTTAGTACCTCCACATGCCAGGTTGGCCGATTCAACAACCAATCGTCTGTAGAAGAGCTTCGTGGAAAATCATCTTGAAAGGGATCCCTCTTGTAAGCGGATGTAGATGCCAGATGATGTAGTTCTTCCTGAACAACGGACTGCGCATGTTCTAAGAGACCGGAAGCCCATTGACGTAGAAGGTGACACAAACCAGAAGCGTTTATATCATCCATGATTCGTTGCTCTTCTGCAGTCACCACGGTTCTGGCAAAGAAGTGATGGAAGAAAGGAGACCTTGTGCCATCAGGTCTCGGCTGTTTCTTCCGTATGCGCCTTGGTACGAAGCTGTCTTCCTGTACACCCGCAACAACATTGCCAACACCGCCACCGCAGTCAAAGCTGTCTTCATGTTCCAGGATGTCTTGTGTGGTCAAGGGCCTTCTCTCCTGTAACTCGTCATGTGACACTGGAGCCACGGGTTGAGATACTCGTCTCATTTTGTCGCAAGGAGTCGGTGCCTGCAAAATAGCCTGCAACAACATTCGCTTCGTCAATGCACGTTCATGTGATGCCTCGGCATCACTGAATAACGTTTTCCCACGCAATTCAGCAACTCGGCGCTCAGCTTCGTTCTCCTGTTCTGTGTCACGTAGCAGCGCCTGTAAGTCTGGCAACTGCGCAGGTTCGTCCGACATGGCACCCTGCGGTACTCCTGACTCTTACTTATCCCAAACCTTTCTGGGTCAAGACGTGCGTGCTTGCAACATGTCATGATTGGCACCCTGCGGTACTCCTGACTCTTACTTATCCTAAACCTTTCTGGGTCAAGACGTGCGTGCTTGCAACATGTCATGATGTAATACCCAGTTCACCTCGAATGGAGCTTTGCCAACTCAATGTCAAGGTCCGTGAAAATCCATGCCAACTCAATGTCAAGGTCCGTGAAAATCCATCTCGTGGCTAGGTCTCGAGGAAAACGCTCAGTTTCACATGTTTACGGGCCCCCTTCGGTCTCACATCTCCACGGGCCTCGTGGCTAGGTCTCGAGGAAAACGCTCAGTTTCACATGTTTACGGGCCCCCTTCGGTCTCACATTTCCACGGGCCTCGGGCTAGGTCTCGAGGAAAACGCTCAGTTTCACATGTTTACGGGCCCCCTTCGGTCTCACATTTCCACGGGCCTCGTGGCTAGGTCTCGAGGAAAACGCTCAGTTTCACATGTCCATGGGCCCCCTTCGGTCTCACATTTCCACGGGCCTCGTGGCTAGGTCTCGAGGAAAACGCTCAGTTCCCAAGCGGCCCGGAACCTCAAGGCGTCCGTGCTCGCGCAGCTCGGCAATCCCGAGCCGAACGACATCATCCTGGAGCTGTCCGACGAGACCTACTACCTGGACGCGACGAGGGAGTGGACCTTCAGCCAGCAGGCCATGCAGGTTGTGGACGACCAGGTGGTGGTGGACACCGTCCTGGATCAGCCCCTCGGGGCCCTGCGGGACGTCTCCTACCAGCTGTTTTGCGGCGACGAGATCCTCGAGTCCGCCTTCGAACAACGGCCGGACAAGCTCTGCGTCGCCCGGCAGCTCGCGGAGCTGATGCGGCTGCCGCTTCAGGAGGTGCTCTCGGACTTCGACGCAATCACCGGTATCGGGAGCAAGTGGCGGGAGCAAGGCATCACGCCCCGAGAGATCCGATCGTTCTGCGTCTGGCGCTCGGCCCCGATGTTCTACGTGGACTGCCAGGGCCGCCTGCTGGACAAGTACGAGCCTTCCGTCAAGGAGCAGCGGGCCGTGGCCTTCACGAGCTGGAACGGCCACGCCTTCTTCTACAAATCCGCCCGCACCGTCGCGAAGTGCGAGCCGATCGGGGAGCGGGCCAGGTATAGGGGCGAGAGGAGGCCGGGCGAAACGCCCGAGTTCAAGCATTGGCGGGAGTGGGAGGGTGAGGTCACCAGCGGCCACTTCTACGCCGAGGACCTGGAGCAGGTCCGGAGGGAGCTCCTGGCCGAGGAGCACTGCCCGAAGGTGGTCATGCGAAGCATGAGCGAGTGGCGGTGCCTGCGGCTGAGGGTGCGGGGCGGCGAGGACTGCGTCATCTCCGCCTTCCACGAAGACCTGGACGTGCTGCAGGCCTGGATGCGGCGGCTGGGGCTCCCCTATTACGGGCAGCGTCTGGCAGGCGCTTCGAGCGAGGTCTTCCTTCACCTTCTCAAGGCCCGCCGCGATCCGCCCGGATCTCGGCAAGCCCTGCTCTCGGAGCAGGACCATCAGTGCAAGCTCTGCGGGGCCCCCATCACCGCAACCACATGCGAGTTGGACCACATCGTTCCCGTGCACCAGTCCTTCGCCGCGCAGGCCCAAAATCTCCAGGCCCTGTGCCTCGAGTGCCACCGGAACAAAACGGCCTTGGAGTTCTCGCACGCCACGACACTGGAGTCGCGCTTCAGCCGGCGGGCTTACGAGCAGTACGTGGAATCGCCCCGACTCCCACCGCTCGTCTTCAAGCTCAACAGCCACAAGCCGGACCACATCTGCCACGGAATCGACGTGGTCCGGTGCCGCAAGAACGCCCTGGCCCATGCCAAGTTCCCGGCGCCCATCTTCTGCCCCAAGGACAACGTGGAGCAAGCCCGCGAGGGGCACCTGGCCGACCTGACCTACGTGAAGCTCCCGGAGGACGGGCGTTGGGCAACCTTCCCGCGGCTCCCCTACGTGGGCGAAGGCTGGTACGCCAAGCCCGCGGTGGCCTACATGCTCGAAAGGGGCATCGCCACCTGGAACGACCTGGCGTGGAGCCTGGACGCCACGGCGCACGTGGACCAGGAGTCCGTGACCCAGGCCCTGCAGCAGATGGAGGCGGCCTGGCCGGAGGGAGAGGAGCACTACGCGAAGCTGTCGGTGAACGCTCTGATCGGGCTCTGGGCGCGCAACATGGACCTCATCTACACCATGCGCACCAGCAACCACCAGTTCGACGGCTCCGGCTGCCAGCACCGGGAGCTGTTCCTGGACGCCGCGGGCGGGATGCACTGGGACCACATCTACGTGACCCAGCTGCTGTCCAACCGGAGCTGCCGGCCCGTGCACGACTTCGTGATGGCCTCGGAGTACGTCGCGGTCTGCCGCATCCGGGACGCGCTCGCAACCGTGCCGTCGAGGTACCTGAAGGCCGTCAAAACGGACTGCGTTGTTTTCCAGGACCTGCCCAAAAAGTTCCAGGGCCTGGTGGACGGCCTGGTCCGCGAAAAGCACCCCGACGGCACGCCCGTGTACCGGTGCGAGGAGGTCAAGGGCCTCGAGGGCCAGTACCGGATCCCCCGAATCGAGGCCAAGTGTCCTTATTGCAGCACCACAAACTGGAAGGTCGCGGGGGACCCCGTGCTCCACTGCCTCGAAGGCGAAGGCCTTCTGCTGACGGGCTACCCGGGCACGGGGAAAACCTACCTGGCGCGCCAGATCGTGACCGCCCTCCGGGAAGAAGGGTACAAGGTCAAGATCATCACGAAGACCCACTCCTCCGTGCAGAACTTCGGCATGCAGGCGGAGACGGCCGACCACTGGGTGCGGAGCACCGTCCGGAACGGGTACTGCAACATCGACTGGCTGGTGGCGGAAGAGATCACGCAGCTGGACACGGGGCTGTGGAACGACATCGCCTGCGTCTCCATGAACCGGAAAATCAAGTTCCTGCTGCTCGGCGACTTCCGCCAGTTCCCCGCCATCATGGACAACTTCGCGGGCGCCCCGGTGCTGCGGGAGCTCAAGCACTGCCAGCTGCTCCACGACCTCACCGGCGGCTGGCACCACGAGCTCACGGAGAACATGAGGAGCGACCCGGGCATTTTTGGCTTCCTGACCTGGCTCCGCGTCGACGAGCCCCGCGAGCAGTCCCTGGCCGAGGCACTTTCCCGGGTTCCCGCGGCAAGGCGAGGCGGACGTCAGCCTGGTCATCTCCCACGCCCGCCGCATCCGAATCAACGCCCGCGACAACCACCGCCTGGCCCCGCCGGAAGCTGTCACGATCGAGTACACCGGCACTGGCCCGGCGACCACCAACATGCCGCAGACCATGCGGGTCTGGCCGGGCCTGAAGCTCATCGGGGCCGGCGGCCGCGTCGCCAAGGGCATCTACGTGCACGTGACCGAAGTGGGGCCCGAAAAAATCGTGTTGGACGGCGGCGACTCCTTCACCCACGCCGCCCTCCTGAAGCACACCCGGCTGTGCCACGCCATCACCTACGCCTCCTGCCAGGGCCTGACGCTTGAGGGGGGGGTCTTCCTGCGCGACACCGGAAGCCCGCACTTCACTCTCAGGCACCTCTACGTCGGCACCAGCCGGGCCACGAGCAGCGAGCTCCTGAGCGTGCTCTAGAAGGGGCAAACGGGACCGGCGGCCTCGTAGGCTTTGAGCTGCAGATCGGTCACCTCGAGCAGAAGGCCGCACTGGTTGGACATCACCCATATTTGGCGCAGCTCGCACCGCACCCTGCACTCCCTGCCAGCGAGGTCGCCGGGCTCCGCCAGCTCCTCCTGGTTGGGCCCCCAGATGCGGACTCGCCCCCAGTCCATCTTCAGCTTGAGGTAGGAGCCGCCCCGCGGGCTCGTCTTCAGGCACGATTGGAAGCGGTCCTTCACGTCCGTCTCGGTCAGAAACTTGCCGAAGACCTTCGGCTCAGAAAGCGACAGCGCCGTCAGGGCCCTGACGAGGTGCTGCTCGATCTCCTGGAGCTGCGCCTTGGAGGCCTCGTCGGGCTCCAGGCACAGACCCACGTGCGTGGCACTCGGATCGTTGAAGGCGGCGGGGTGCCAAATGATCTTCTGCCACTCCGCCGACTGCCACACCGGCGGACCGCCGTTCCGGCGCAGGGGGACGTACTTGCCGCCCTTCGCATTGATCGTCAGATCGCCGAGCTGAATTGCCGATTCGCAGGTGGCTTGCTTTTGCGGCTCCATGCTGCTCCTTTATACATGTAACATAAAAAATGCCGTCGCCCGAACGAATCTGCGCGGCCGTCGCCCTGGCGGGCGTCTTTGTCGGCCTGTGGCTTTTGTCATCGCCACACGAAAATGCGTCTGTTGGAGTTGTTCAGCGGCACCAAGTCGGTGGGCCGTGCCTTCGAGGCCCTTGGGTGGGAGGTAACGAGTCTTGACACGGACTCGACGACTCGGCCCACCATCTGCGCCGACATTCAGGAGTGGGACTACAGGACCTACCCGCCCGAGCACTTCGATTTTGTCTGGGCCTCCCCCGTCTGCGCGGAGTTCTCCAGGGCCCTGACCCGACGACCCCGACGGCTGGAGGACGGCGACCGGCTGGTCCTGAAGACCATCGAGATCATCGGGTACCTCCGACCTCGCGGTGGTGGGCCGTGGAGAACCCGCAAACGGGCCTGCTCAAAAGTCGGCCCTACATGCAGGCGCTGCCTTACGACGACGTGTCCTACTGCATGTACGGCTTTCGGTACCAGAAGACCACCCGAATCTGGAACAACCTGCCTTGGGTTCCCAGCCAAGCGGTCTGCTCCAAGCACGGCCGCTGCGAAGCTTTCCGGGACGGCCGGCACCCCGAAACCGCCCAGAGGCAGGGCAGCCGGCACTGGCCCGGCCAGACCCGGGACCAGCTGTACTCCCTGCCGCCCCGACTTTGCCAGGAGATCGCGGAGAGCCTGTAAATGGGAAAGGTGAAGCTCTTCCCGACCG